GAAAAATAATAATTATCTAAATGTTATTATTTATCCTAGGGTGTTGACATCATCCTAGATATAACTACCGAGATCTTTAAGATTTCGCCGGCCCTACGTGGGTAGTTAAGACATTATGAGTTCCATTAAACTTAATAGTTTAATCGCAAATTGGGTGAATTGCAAGAACATCTCTCTGTTCACAGGGAGACAACTTGCAGCGAAGCATATATCAGTGTTATAAAGATATACGAACGTTCAACGACTAATCAGTGAGCTATACTAGCAATAAGCCGGACACGAGTGCCCAACGACATAGTCAACTTAATATTAATTTAAGTTAGAAACGGTCGATGACATAGTCTAAACTGACCGGTGACGGTCAGAAGGTACAGTTAAATGCTGTACCGATAATAAAAATTGTCATCTGGGGAGGTTTTAGCGTTGATAATGCTACATTAAACCGATTCTTCAGTCTTCACTATTTATTACCATTCATTTTAGCAGCTTTAGCAGTAATGCACTTACTAACTCTACATGAACATGGATCAAGTAACCCTCTAGGAATTACAGCAAATGCTGATAGACTTTATATGCATCCTTATTATACATTTAAAGATTTAGTAACAATCTTCTTATTTTTCTTAGTATTAGCTTTATTCTTATTCTATGCACCGAATAAACTCGGTCATCCTGATAATTATATTCCAGCTAACCCAATGCAAACTCCAGCTTCTATTGTACCTGAGTGGTATCTATTACCTTTCTATGCTATTTTACGATCAATTCCTGATAAATTAGGAGGAGTTATTGCTATGTTTGGTTCTTTACTAATTCTTCTAGCTATGCCTTTATTAGACACTTCAAGAGTTAGAGGTTCAGCGTTCCGACCATTAATGAAATTAGCTTTCTGGCTATTAGTAGTAGATTTCTTAATCTTATTATGGTGTGGTGGTCAACATGTTGAAGAGCCTTTCATTACTTTAGGGCAATTCGCAACTGCTTTCTACTTTGGTTGGTTCTTAATTATCCTACCAGTAGTAGGTATCGTTGAGAATACTCTAATGGATTTAGCTGCAGAAGAAAAAAAACAATAAATCCTCAAGACTCCTTCAAAACTAATATATTCAGATTCATTTAGTAATAATATAATCAAAAGTCCGCTTAATAAATTGACCTTGTCAATTTATTNCGGGCGAAGGTAATTATGATAAATTTGCAGTTAGTTCTGTTAATGATATCCAAAAAGTAGTAGAGTTTTTTTCTCTTCAGGGTCGACGAGCGGCCCCTGGCCCCCTGTCATCGGACAAGTCCCGGCTCGGGGCTTCTAATTTACATCCTCTTGTTGGTTATAAATTAACACAATACAATAATTGGATTGAAGAAATTAGAAAAAATCCACGATATAAAAATGTGGAATTACCAGAACGAAATTAGGCCCGCCTGAGTGCAACTCTGCGCTCGG